TCTCTCTCTCTCTCTCTCTCTCTCTCTCTATGGGGGGGGGGGGGCATAATTATAAATGAATCCAACTTCCACCCTATAGGGAGATAAGATTCACACTTGAAAGTGGAGGATCCATGCCCCATCGCTGTCTTAGAGGGAAAGGGAGAGTGAAAAGCAAGCATCAATTCTCAAAAATTTATTATGCTATATATGGCATATTCTAGTTTCTAGTTTCTTTTTTCTCCTTTTTTTTTTTTTTTTGACTTTAACACAAATGGCATATTCTAGTTTCTCTTGACAAAGTAGTGTGGAGATTCCATGTAGGTTACTCGAACCAATATTTATATTTTATTGTGAAATAAGGAGATGTGGCACTTCTACATGGGTAACTTCCACCAATAACTCTCTTCTATGTGAGTTTGTCAATTTTCCAAATTCCTCATTAACATACTATTAAATTAAACCTAACCAGTGATAAGAAATATGAAATAGTAACGAGGTCACAATTATTTTTAGTTGTTTAATGTGAAATTTCACAGCGATGTATTATGTAGCTTTTTTTTTAAAAAAAAAAAAAAAACCTCTTTCTACCAAAGCTAAATGATGTTATCTTAATGTATCCTTTTCCGAAAAAACATTCACCTCATGATTGGCCTTTTTAATATATGAGCCATGCTTGGTTTCTTTCTCTTATTGGAAAAGACTGAAAAAGTTATGAATGGATAACTTCTCCTAACGGTCATGTTCGGACTATTTTATTCATATAACTTTTTTGATTTGTTTATTTGGTTGATAAGGATTATGGATTACGAGTGGATAAGGCCCCTCCAAATGGAGACTAATGCAGTCTACAAATAACCCCTCACAAATGGTAAAGAAAACAGTGATTCAAATATTATATCGTTTGAGTTTTTAATTTTGGAAATTCATCATAACACACCTATAATTAGTTAAGATTTTACTCCTTTCAACTATTCCACCGATAGGTTTCTTTAGAATTCAATCACGATACATTTTGATAAATTTTCCATTCTTTAATAATTTTGTATAAGTATGGGGTATTATTTTCATATGCATATCCATGTGGAAAGGTATTTTCTTAGGGATGTTTTCAACACAATAGGTATGGTTACTTCATAAAGAACTACCGAAGCAAATAATTTCAAAAATTGAAAGGAATTGACTACGAATAGGGTCTCCAAATCGGATTTTGTTTGCCTAAAGAGATTTGGAATGTCATAAAAAGCGTGTACGCAAAGCTTTTCTTTCCTCTATTTTTTAACATAATAGATTACAAGATGGTCTACAAGAATGAAAATTGATTCAAAGCCTTTGTTTCTCATAACAAGATTAAACGCTGACACCTAAAAGCAATAAAAACACAAAAATAAAAATCGTATACATTTTAAATGGGATTGTATACAATGAGATTATTTATCTTTGATACAAGTTGGTCACAATTTTTTATAACCATTTGATATGAAATTTGATAGTTTATATGTGTCACAAAGTTCGAAAAAATTTCTTTTGAAGTTTGAGCTTGATCAATAGAATACTTGCAGCCACCCAATTTCACATCCAATAGTCACAATTAATGTGACCACTTTGTATCAAAAGTAAATGGTCTCATTCTATTCTTTCTATTTTTAAATTTCGATACTTCTCCTATGGTTGATATGATCGTGTCATCTCCTACGGTTTGAGAGTCGATGCTCACCATTTTAGACTGAATTTCAAGTACTAGAACCAGAAAATAGCCTTTTAATGGAGGTTTGTTTGAGAGTTCGATGCTCACAATTTTTAGTTGAATTTCAATTACTAGAACCAAAAAATAGCCCTTTGATGGAGGTGGCTAGAGAGTTCGATGCTCGCAATTTTGGGTTGAATTTCAATTATTAGAACTAAAAGATAATGGAGGCGGCTTGAGAGTCCTCGCGAGGATATAGGAAACAGCCAATTTCTAGGGAGAGATAACATTCTCTCCCACTCAAATATGTTAAAGAAGTTCTGGGTACCTGTATTTGATAATATTTCTCTTTCCCCTCATTCTCTGCCACTCAAATATGGGTTTTCTAAACCCTCATCCTTCTGTGTTTTATCTTTCCCTTGCCCTCTCCCCCTCTCTCTCTCTCTGTTCGCAGCCCTTTGCTCTTGCCCCTCTCTCCAGTCCCATTACCCTCTCGCCCCTCTCTCCCTTTGCTCGCTATTCCTCTTGCCCCAAGCTAAGTTTAACTAATCGGTGTAGTAATTTGACATGTTGTTGATGAGGATTGAATTTTGTTAGAACAGTGATGGTTTTATGCTGAAATTGGTGCCTTGATTTTTGTTGAATTGGTGGGGTTGAAATGAAATAAGTATCTTGATTTTTATCAAAATGATGGGGTCATATTATAATTAGTTTAACTTGTTCTTGAAATTTACTTGTGGAATGACGCTTTCTTGGGAAGTGTGAGTAAAATAAGTGAAAAAATGAAAAAGATTGTTAAATAAGTAGGGTATATGTTTCGTCCTCGGCTGGATTCCAGTAAAATTAGAGTCTGCTGTTACTGAGGTGTTGGAGAGTTTACTCTTTGAAGGTTAGAGGTATTAAATAGTTTGGATGATTATGAGAATGGCCTGCTCCGTTTCTAGCCTACCTTATCTGATTGAAAAGCTACTCTAATGAATTTTGCTCAAAACCATAGGCAAGTGAACTTTGCTTATGAGAATGCAAAGAAGAAATATGAAGGAATCTAGTGAGCCACAAAAATATCAATTAGTCTTCCCTCTCTCTTTTTTTCTGATATTTTGTGCATTGCTTAATGCTGCTTCGCTTGCCTTGCCTTCCTTTTATTTAACTGCGTGATTGATACTTTAAAGGCTATATTTATTTCTTCCTTTTATCTTGCAGCTCTTCTTGATCGTGTTTACAGACTAAGTAAAATTTGAAAAGAGGGATAGCGATTATAGGCAGAGCAGAGGGAAAGAGAGGCGCAAGAGGGTAATGGGACAGAAAAAGAGGGAGTGGGCAAGAGCAAAGGGCTAGGCAGAGAGATTAAACGTATAGGAGGGATGGGGGTTTAGAAAACCCATATTTCAGTGGGAGAGAATGAGGAGAGACAGAGAGAGATAGAGATTCAAGAGACTACAAATGAGGAGAGAGAGACTTAAAAAAAAAATTAATAATAACCAGACCTTCCTTAAAATTTCAGCAAGTTATCAACACAAGAACCCTGAACTTCCTTAACATTCTTGCAGATTATCAAATACAATACAGGTACCCGTAACTTCTTTAACATTCCAGAAAGATAACATTCTACTTTTTAGCAAACAAAAACTTTTTGTCTTCAAGAAACATTTATCTTCCTGCAAAAGAAACAATCATGCTGTAAAGAAGAGATATTGAGAAGTTTTGAATGGGTGTCAGAGGTGTGAATGAGACATTTTGGGCTACTCTTGCATGGGATATTTTGGAGCTCATGAAGGAGACTTCAGAGATTTTCATGGGATCTCTCTCTCCATCGTTGCCTCTCATTGAACATATATATGAAGCTCTCTCTTTCTCTTGCTCTTGCTTTTTCTCAGGAAAGGGGCCAAGTCTTCCCTTATTTATGTTCATAGTGTGTTTGGGCAAACAATCAACTGATGTGTTTCTGTTTTCTACCAATTAAATTCGTTTTTTCCAGGCTGAAGAGGACAACTTTCGGATTTTCGGCCTATACCAAAGCGAAGCGAACCTCTGGTGTGTAGGCTTCAGCCCGCTTCGGTTTGAGCATTAGGTGAAGCACAGTTTTTTTTATATTAATTTTTATTTTTTGAATTTTTATTTTAATTTTTTTATTATTTCAATAGATTGTTAAAATATAATTTTATAGTTTTTAAAATAAAATTTGAAGCCTTCCTCTGAATCGGCCGAAGCCGAATTGCTTCATTTTTTCGACCAAACCAAAAAAAGGCTCTCAAGCGAATATGAAAGCACTGGTTTCTAAGTGTATCTCAATTGTTGTAATCAAGTAAGGAAAATTGTTTCATGCGGCTCGGACCGCATGACTACATATGCGGTCCACAAAGTGGTAGGTGTTTCATCTAAAAACAATAGAAACTAACGGTCTAAATGTTTTTTTACTAGAATTATTATTTCTATTTTTAAAAATTTATTTATTTTTTCATATTCATGATCTCCATATTAAACGAAATGTTCTTGAAAACTAAGTCCAAAAATCTATCTCAAAAATAGATTATAAATAGGCCCGCATTTTAAATATGCGGGCTTGAGCGCATAGAAACCGAGTCCATCAAGTAATAGAATATGTCCCATACTTGAGTCTAATACCCTTGTCACAGGGAGGTTTGTATATGGTGTCCACAATGTACCATACAAGTAAGGTACATCTCCAAATTTTGTCAATAGCTCTAGTATCGAAAACCTTACGATGGCTTGAAAATCCATATCTAAATATAATTATGAAATTTGAAATTCTAAAAAGTGATATAAATCAGACAGATCAATCAACACTTGAGAATCTTGAAAACTTGAGAATCTTGAAAATAGTTGGTCTAGATAACTTGTTACAAGATGCATGTTTTTTAAAATTTAAAATTCCCTTTTTTTAATAGGCCATCTCGAGGTCGAGATGATCAATCAAAAGACTTTCCAACTTGAGAACACTCTGTTCTAGTGGATTTTTGAAGTGCACATTACTATAGTATAAGGTTACATACTTATATTCCTTAATCAGAAAATGAAGGCCTTTGTTCGATACGGCATGCTCATTTAAGTATTGAACGAACTGCTTGTCAAAACAATTTGCAATGGTCATCTTCCCTCTAAATATTTAATGAGCAACTCAATTATATTTTTTATGTGCATTTTTTGTTCCAATTCATGAGGCATTCTAATATTCTCATTGTATGAAAAGATATCTCTATAAGCAAAGGCCAATAAAATCCATTTTCATTTGAAAATTGGGTACCATTACAATCATTATAAGACGAAATTGCACCCTTTCATTTACAACAATTAATATTCTTCTCATCCTCGCAGCCAAAATACATTACAAGCCTTAAATGTGACGTCTCTGAAAGGTGAATGATAAAAACAAAAGGAAACATGCACCCTTTTATTTACAACAACCACTAACTGAGGAAAGTGGTGGAGACCGTGGTAACATCTCCACACCCAGTTATCATATCGTGGTGTTCATTTCTACCACAGACAGCCTCAATTAACATCTTCAAAATGTAACTCCCCAAGCTTTTGAATAAACGGGTAGGGACCTGCCTTTACCATTGAATTAGCTAAAAAAAACAACCACGACCTGTGCTTTCCTTTGAATAATAGAGGAAGAGAAGAGAGAGAGATAAGTTTAGGTTGGTTAGTTAATATTGTGAAGAATCCCAGCATTAAAGGGCGCCCCAACAAGAGATAAAACAACATGACCAATGTGCTTGGAAGATAATCCTGCTTCTATCACCTGGTCTTGTGGTGATCCATGGTCAATGTACTTGTCGGGGAGCACCATAGCTCTCCACTGTAGCATTTTTCATATGAAGTTGTATCAATCGAGAGAGAGAGAGAGACTGAGACTTAAATGAGAGACATAGAAAGAGAGATTAAATCCCTTGGGGGAGAATTTTCCATATGGGGTTTGGTTCCACCCAGATTTGGATCCGAATTCAGGAAGTATAAATGGGATTTGGATCCATATCCAATCGAATCCAACATGTTCGGATCCGTATCAAAAAACTATATATGGGTATAGTTTTTCTATCCGGATCTAAAAACTATATATGGGATCCGGATTAGGTATTCTAAAAGTTTCAAACATTATATATATATATACTATTTTTAAAAACCAGGTCGGATCCGGACCGGATTCACCTGTACCCAGTTTCGATCTGAATTACTACTCATATTTAAATTTTAGATCTGGATCTGAATTTTAGATCCAAATCTTGGATCCATACTTGGGTCCGCATAGGATCTACAATTTGGGTTTCAAATCCAAACCGGGTAAATTCACAACCCTAGCGTAGAGACTTAAAGGCATTGAAGAGAGAGAGAAATAGAATACCTTGAGTTTTCCATCCAAGAGGCCATTCAAGGACAAAAAGTGGCATACATGAGAACCGAAACCTCCTATTGATCCTTCCTCCACTGTAAGTAGAACTTCATGCTCCATGGCCAACCTTCTGATTAAGTCTCCATCTAGAGGCTTACAAAAGCGCGCATCGGCTATGGTTACTGAAACTCCATGCTCTCCACTAGAATCCTTCCCTTCCCAATCTGTTGTTGCATTTAGACACAAGAAGCTCATTGAATTCTTGGATATAGTTTAGGAGAAATATAAAATAAGACTATTTATTTTTGGTACAAAACGACTGCAATAACCTTTACTTATTAGATGTGAAATTGGGTGTTGGGGTGGGCCATTAACCACACTCAAAGTACAATTTTTTTCTCTTAAATTTTGTAATGTACCCCTAGCTACTAGATTCACATGTGACATGATTATGACATTCTTGTGCTAAAGGTAAATAATCTATCTCAATAATATTTAAATTTGATGTAATATGAAAAAAAAATAACATTATGCACGATCCATATAAGCATAGAAAATAAATGGTCATAATCATCTAATCAAAGGTTGGACGTGATGGAGAGTGGAACCTACAACTTGGAATGGAGTAGAGCCTGGTTCAAGTCAGCTTGGTGAGTTTTGAGTCACACAATCATGATTATGACTTAGAATCATTATTTAATTAAAAAAAAAAATTATTTAAAGGTGAAGCTCTAAACAATCAAATTAAAACGCATCTCAAAAATTCATTAAAAAATATTATTTGGATGGTAAAAAATCCTCAAAATGGTATTGGTTATGGGTGACTCGAGTTGTTCAAGATATGGGCAGATTCAGTCCCTGGTGAATGGGTGACTCGAGTAAGTCCAAGTTGGACTGGCCCTTTTTCTGGGCACTCAGGCAGATCATCATGTGTCATGCACCATGTGGAATGGACCCCACTAAGAATGCGCTCTAAGCAAAAGCTGTCTGGTTGGTGGGTGCCAATATGTGCCATCCAGGGCTGCATTTTAGGTCCCAAATTAATATTATAAAAATAAAAAGAGAGTGAGAGAAACCTGATGTAATGGGTTTTAAATTTTCGAAGTTTATAATATTTTAGATTTTAGGTTTAAGCTTTATTTTGGGTTTCTAGTTTTCTTTAAGTATGTTTGTGTTTTTTTCATTTTATAGAGAATATAGAGCTGGAATTGAAAGCTTTTTTTTTTTTTTTTTAAAGTATGAAGAATTAGGATTTAATTTTTGTTAGAGTTTCTCACGGAATAAGTTAAGATTTAGAGTTTTTTTCTTTTATAAATATATAGCTATTTGAGCAGAAAAATATAAATATATATTTAGAGAGAAGAGAAGAAGAATTAATTTTTGTGTTGTGAAATGATTTTTGAGGAGACTCTCTTTTAGACCCTAAAAAGGATATATTCTTATTCTATATTTTTCTAGTTATTTTTTTTTATTTTTTTCACCTTTTTAACATTAAAGCCCCCACCTCATTTAACATGATATGTCGACAATATATAAAAAGGAAATGCACCTATAGTCTTTCTCTCTCTCATGGGAATAGTGAAGGATAAGAAGTACCTCTAAGGGTGTACCCTTATGGTTCGGAGGAAGGGGTGAACCCACTCCATTGCCTCTTGGGAATCTAAAGCAAGAGGGTCTATCATCAATGGAGGCAGCTGTTGCAACCATGTGAATGAGTTCAGACTCATCAGAGAGCCCCATCACTACCATGTTGGGGAGGCAAGCCATGAAAGTGGTGTCAAAAGCTCCACAATATGTTGGACCATCTGCCCCAACTAGTCCAGCCCTATCCATTGCAAACCTCACTGGAAGCTTTTGTAGATCCACATCATGAACCACCTGTGCCAGTTTCCAAGTGCTTAAAATTGCTCATTTTCAATTTAGAGAGAGAGAGATCAGTAAGCCTACTATGTGAGAAATATCGAGTGTTGGTTTGCAAGCCCTAATATCCTTGTAAGACACTAGTCTCCTAGTAAGACATTGAGCACATTCGGAAATGGTGGACATATTATACACGGTATAATGTGGATTATACACTGTATTATGAGGCAGATGTGATTAACGGTACCAACACGCCGGGCTTGGGAAGCCAGGCATGGTGCGGGGTAGCCCTGGCCTAGCCGGGCCCACGTCCCCATAGGGTTGGCCAAGCCATGCCAAAAAAACAAATGAAGAAAATGTTAAAAAAAAAAAGGCCCGCACAGACCTTAGCCTGGCATCGGGCTATAGTTTGTGGCCCAAGCCCTAACTTTTTAGGGTTGGGATGCCTGGCCAGGCTACATGGCCCATTGCCAACCCTAGATGTGATAGGTACAATGGAAGCAAGCAGAGCGAGAGAAATCGGCATCTAGTAAATATGTAAAGTAATGTATATTTTATTTTAAGAGATATTTTCATATAAGTCCCTTGGCCATGAATATTTATTTTTATATTTTTCCATTTTTTTTAGAAAATTTTAAAAATACCCCTGAGCACATTACAAAAATTCCTCTCTTATTCGTCCAATTCATGCCACAAAAAAATTTGTAAATGGTGTGAACATACTAGTGTTAATAGTGTTACATATAGAGAGAGTTTTACAGAGAAGACAGTCTGTGTTGTGTACCTGATCATACCCTCTTTGCAGAAAGGAAGAGTAAATGGCACAGAAAGGCTTGAGGCCCTCGACTGCCATGCCTGCTGCGAACGTTACTGCATGCTGCTCAGCGATGCCTACGTCGAAGCATCGATCAGGAAACGTTTTTTGAAAGAGGCTAAGACCAGTTCCACCACCCATGGCTGCATGGATCCCCACTATCCTGTTATCATCTTCTGCCTCTGCTATCAATGCTTCTGCAAAATATTGAGCGTACGATGAGGTGGGAGCCTTGCTCTTGAACTGCTTCCCAGTCTTAGGATCAAACTTCGTGACCCCTGCCCATGAAATCAAAAAAGAAAGCTTAAAGTATCTCAAAATATGATAAAGAAATTTATATACTTTTTGCTTTTTAAGTGTTAGTATGTAGGAATGGAACCCAAGACGAATGAGAAATTTAAATACTCAAAATCTTTTCTTTTGAGGCAGGTGAATATCAACTGCTCTTGCAAGTTATACATGAGAGACAAGCTCCTTCTCATGAAAGCTTGCTCGAAAGTACATTTTGCTTAATATTTATTAATTTTTTCCCTTTCCATTATTTTACTGTACATTTGAAATGGACTTGTGTATAAAATTGAAATATGAACTTATGATAAGTAATTATATCTGAACTCTACCTGTATCAAACTAGAAAGAGGAAAAGTTTTATGAACTTAGATATTGAAAAAGACAGAAAATTTTGAATTCTATTAGTTTGTAAATTTTCTAGAAATTTTGCTCAAAATACTCAATGAGAAATTAAATTCTTGGAAATGTCCTTGAAAATCATCCCATAAAATGATTAATGGATGATATGAATTGTTGAATTGTCACTTGCTCTAAGGGTGTTTAAGACTTACCATACATTTTATCAGAAGCCGCTTGGGCTGGAGGATATCCCTTCCCTTTCTCAGTAATGATATGGATGAGTACAGGTCCAGGTGCAGGCATGGATTTTACCTTCTCTAGAATAGTGATGAGGTCCTCAACACAGTGGCCATCAACTGGTCCAATGTAATAGAGCCCTAGTTCTTCAAAGAGGGTGGCCATTGTGCCACTCACAATTCCTCTCGTGAACTCGTCGACTTTCGCCACTACTTCAGGGGCCTGTGCTCCTATTTTCTTTGGGAGATACAAATGGCTCAGTTACTTCTCTAAATGGAAGTTTATGTATTTTATCGATGATTAGGATGTTTTATCTGATTAAAAACTAAGAGTACTCATATTATTCTGCCTAGTGGTCTTGAATCACCGGATTTTATGAAGGTTAGGGCCTTGCTTGCTTACTTTAGCCGACACCCGGAGCAGTCGAAGCTTAGTGCTGGACTGCAATTTCGTAAGAGCCCGACTTAGAGCTCCGACGGGAGGTACAGGCCCGTCTACAGTGGCAGTTGGAAGAAAAACTTGCTTATTGTCATTAAGTATGATTATAAGGTTTGAGTCCAAAAAACCAGCATTGTTCATGGCCTCATATGCTTGCCCTGCTGTCATAGCCCCATCTCCTATCACTGCAATTACATGGTTACTCTTCCCTTGCAAATTCCTTCCAACTGCCATTCCTGTAGATCATCAAGCCTTAAAATCAGTGAACATATTATGCATTTCAATTGGTGCTTATTATGCTCAAGCCTTAAAATCAGTGAACATATTATGCATTTCAATTGGTGCTTATTATGACAAGGCATATGGGGCTTATTAAGTCCCTTTAATAACTTGCTAGCATACCATATTATGCTTGCTTTATAATTTTGAGGTGCGCCTTCCTTTATAGTATAAGGTTGATGCTCTATATAAATTTATTCCTAACATGAAACTATATGATCTGGTCATCAAAAAGATGGGTACATCAATCAAATAAAGTAAAGGTTTATTAGAGAAAATATATAATAAGAAGATTTCTCTTAGGAGGTACGTGCTGGTTCAAGTGAAAGACTCAAAAAAGGTAAGAGGTAAACCTAAAAGGACATGGCTGGAAGTAGTGGAAAAGATATGGGGACTTATTGCCTCACTGAAGGTATGGCCCTTGATATAGCCGAATAACGGACCAGGATTCATGTAGCCGACCTCAAATAGTTTGAAAAGAGCTCTGATCTGATGATGGTATAACAAGATGATTTACCTTGATACAAGGTGGTCACAATCACCCTCGACTATTACACGTAAAATCAGGGGCTAGATATGTATGATTGATTATGCTTAAAGAAACTTTTCTTTGAATCTTGTGCAAATAACTGAGGTAATGTTGATTATAAGTGATTGTAACCTACTTGTACCAAATATTGATAATATTAGAGTATATAGTCCCAACACATTATATTAACAACTTATTTAGGCTACAACTAATTTTCTCAAATGTGACATTCAATAGCATTAAGAAAATTGTTAGCTCAGCTGAACAAAAATGCACATGGTTTGTATCATGCTCTAAATTTTTCCTTCTAAAATTGATCAAAAATAAACTGCATCCAAGGGGAACATATCCTCTCAAGTTATTCAAAAATACTTTGTTATGTTCCCTAACTCACTTAGGATAATGTCATTTTTAACCTAGTAAATATGTAAAATCTCAATTCTCCCTTTTAAATTTCGGTCTACCTTTATCCATTTCATGACCTTTTGAAAAAAATAACCTTACTTTCTGTCACTCATACAACTAAACAATTCACAGTTACTCTATCAAGAAAAGGTAAAGAAATGGAAGAGTAAGAAAGAGAATATTGCATTGCACATACCTAGTCCAGCTGAGATGCTAGTAGAGCTGTGTCCGGCTCCAAAATCATCATGAACACTCTCCTCACGCTTAGGAAACCCAGAAAGCCCTGATGTTTTCCTCAATGTGTGCATCCTCGATCGTCTCCCTGTCAAGATTTTGTGTGGATATGCCTGAAATGTTCATCTTCCATTCACTACAATATATTTCTGGGATTGTATATTAAAAAATTATATACCTTTTGTATAAAGAGGCCACAATCCTTTATGGATGTCAGATGTGAAATCTGATGGGTAAAGATGACTTTGGCCTTAAGCCCGGGCATCGACCCGCCTACTTTACACCTAATTTAGTGTCTGATTGGTAAAGATGATTCTGACCTTCTCGTACCAAAAATGAATGACCTTATTGTGTATTTTCTCATCTATAGATCGCTCTTTTTCTCTACCTAAGACTCATTCTTACATCCTCTTTTTTGTTTTTTTTCTTTTGCCAAAGGGGGTATAGCTAGGGAACTCTATAGCAGCATTGTATACATCACTCCCACCTATGGGAGATTTGCTTAGGAGGACTTTCTCGATCTAAAATTTTGATATCCACTTTAAAATCACCGATAAGTATTTACAACAAAAAAAAAAAAAGATTTTGACCTCCTAGATATTTAGATTATACCATCCAAAAATTGAATGGTCTCCATGCAATTTCAAGATGTTATTTTTTCAACATTTATATGGTACGTATTCTATATTTTTCTTTCTTTTTCTTTTTTTCAAGTTGATCACTAGGTTGACGAGGTTACATCTCAAATTTTAAAGTTTTAAAATATTCTAAATTGAGTTTATCCAACTGAGTGAATGTACAATATGCTCCCATATGAATGAAGGGCAAGCTTCCCCTACGCCATAAAACATACTTCCCCTTATGCAACCATCCATTCTGAATGGAGGGCCAATGCCCTAATCACAAATGTCACGTCTCTACCCTTCTTTATTTTTAATTGTTTTTCTATAAACTATTTTGACACCAAATTTTGGATGTCTAATCTTCTATTAAACTCGCAATAGCGGAAAAATATTAAAAAAAATATTTTCAATAAAATAAAAAGACCAAAATACCTCTGAAAGTTTTAAGGGGTATTTTGGCCATTATATTTTATCAAAAATTTATTTTTAATATTTTTTATAGGTGCGTCCCAATGAGAAGATGATACGTACCAAATTTCATATTCATAAAATTTTTATAAAAATAAAATACTTTGAGACGTCGGATCTAAGATCAAACGGTGAGTGGCTCTCTCGATCAAAATTGGACGGCTGGATGGTAGGGGAAGCATAGATCTTCTATGATGTAGGAGAAGTATAGAAACCTTTTCCATGAATGAATATAGGCATTGATATAGCAAGTTGCTCTTTTTTTCTAGTAGTTTGTAAAAATAAAAAACCTTAGGTATGCCTTCTTAAGCTATTGTGTCTCTTTAAGAACAAATCCACTTCTAATGAGACTCCAATTCTTACCATCAAAATTGACATCTAGGGCACATTTGGCTAGTGGGAAATCACTATGCAGGAGATAGATTTTTATTGACCAAGCGGTTTTCTCATGCTTATTTCATGGGAAAGTGGCACCCAAGAAAACAACATTATTGTAGAGTTATACAAATTGACAACACTTTATGAGAAAGCACCATGCTAAGTACGACACCGATTTCTTGAAAATATCTCTTATGGAGAGAGATTTTCATTGAACCAAACATGTCGGCACAGTGTGTCATGATTCCCCTGGTTTGCTCCGCTCCCTACTTGCTAAATTCACGAAGTTACGATATCTTTATAACTTTGGCTAGAGATATAGCTTTGGAAGCCGCAACTTCTCGAGTTTCAGAACTGGCAGCTTCCGTGGGGGAGCATGGAACCCCGTCCTCCCTTGTTCTCAACTATTTTGAAAACAGCGGGAAGTAGCAGCTTCCAAATTAGCTCATGAAATACGAGAAGTGCTAGAGTTCCATAAAGATATGACTTCATGTTATCAAACACGTGTCTCTAATGTGACTAATGCGATATTTTTAAAAAAAAAAAATATTAGTACAATAAAAATTTCTTATTAATTACCTGATGACCAATGTCCCATATTATCTTATCACGGGGTGTGTCAAATACACGATGGAGAGCTACGGTCAACTCTACGACTCCAAGACTCGAACTCAAATGTCCACCTCTCTTCGACACTGAATGTACGATCTCAGACCGTATATCCACACATAATTCCTCTAATTCCTGAAGGATAATAAATTAAAAAATTATTTAATTATAAATAGAGAAATTTACTAAAAAACTCATTTTATTTTTGGAATTTGTAAATAGCTTTATATTTATTTTATGTTGACCCTCAAATCCTACTTTTTATGTGTATATGATATATCTTATTTTTATTTTTTCTATACATTGGATTAAATTCAAATTTGGGCATCCACACCTCATACTTCTTATCATCATATACTTATTAGAAATATGAAGGAAACAAAAAAAAAACCTCTACAAGATTCAAGGGTATTTTGATAATTTTATTTAATTCAGATTATATATTTGTATTTTTATTGGTGTGCAATGGTTAGAATATGAATGCCCCAAATTTGATTTTAATTGGATGTATTAAAAAGAAAAATTAAAATACAATATATTCTTTCACAAAGTAGGAGTTGGATTAAAATATAAAATATAGAGGACTATTTCTAAATTTTAAAAATAAAATAATTTATTTATTTTTTTGAATTTTCCTAAAAATGTAAGAATCAATTTATCAACTCTATTTTTAAGACATTATAAGAAGAAGAAACATGATATCTCACCTTTGTGGATAGGTTCTTCATGTGAATAGGGTAAGTGATGGTGTCCAATAAAGGGGTAGATGGTTTTTCACTTGAAAAATGTTTGCAATTGGCTGTTTTGTCTTTCTTCGAGATAGTTGCTACGTCGCTCTCAGGATCCCTGGCCTTAGCTGAAGTGCCCTGCCATAGCTGCTTGGAGACAATTTATGTAGGATTGGATTTATCAAGCCAATAATTTTGAAATGGACCCGATTTCTATGCTATGTAAAAATGCAGGTCTCTTAATAAATCTATTTTTGAGATGGATTTTAAGACTTAATCTCTAACATGGAGATCATGAATACGAAAAAATAATTAAATTAAAAAATATATAAAAATAATAATTCTAATAAAAAAAATTTGAACCGTTAGTTTCCATTGTTTTTAGATAGAACAACTACTTGCATCCACCTTTAAAATGGATGCTGTGTACTTTCTTGAGCACATATGTAGAAATGCGATCCAGCCGGCATGAAACAATTTCCCTTTGAAATTATTGAGAAGTATATATACTATTGTAGGGTTTGAATTTCCTAAGCATTTCACAAGTGATAGGACAAAACTTACTTTTGTCGGAAAGTGAACGTACTTTTGTATCCACATGCACATAAATATGCGACTTTCAGATGATGTCGGGCTTCATTTTTTTTTGGGGTCTAAAAATTTATTGATTTGGAAAGGGAATCATTGATCTGGATTATGAATTAGTGAGGATCGACTTAGTTTTTAGTTGAAACAAGGAACCGGTCTGATTCTTCTAGATTCCCCTGGTTCCATCAAGAAATGAGCAAGTTTGTCAAGGAATCGGACAACCCAAATTGCCCAATTTTCTCTCATTTTATGTTTACTATTGTTTCATTTTTAAGTTTTTTTAAATTAAAATTACCCATTCTCACAAAGGAGAATTGGTATGGTTCGCCGATCCGATCAGGATTTTGGGAAGACATTTTCGCTTGGGCTTGGCCGATATTATTTTCGATTCTTCCTCAAACTCTTAAATTTTTCAAAATCAAGACCGGGAGTAAAGACAATGCCTCAGTATGTTGTTGATATGGGATGGTCCTAGATTTGTTTACACCATGACTTGCTTATATCCCATGTGACGGTCCTGCATGTGTTTATACCAGCGTTTTAAAAAACGCATAGTCGAACCGAACTCGCCCGGTTCGACTCGAAAATCATAAAAAAGGGACCGGATCGGTGAAAAAATCGGAAATCGTCCGGTTTTAGAGAGAACCGGACGATTCCGTACAGTGACTCGCCGATTCACTGTGCGGAATCGGCGAGTCCGTGAAGAACACGGTTTGCACAGTGTTCTTCACGGATTCTTTGAAATTTGTCATTTTTTGATCATTTTTCTTGTTTTTTTTGCATGTGATCTGATTTGCAGGCTGTAAACAGCTTTATTCAG